GGTTTTGTTTAGAGACTTGGCAGCAGAATGCAGGGTCAGAGAGTATTTGGGTGTATTCACAACTGTTAATATAGACCAAGGAGGTCAGGTTCCTGCTGTAGAGTAGGGTATATATAGATTCCTGCTCCAAACTGCCACCTAGGCAGGCCTCTGTCCATTGATTTTTAGTTAAGGATATTAACCTCCTGGAAGAGTTCTCCTTCAAATAATTTGAAGAGTTTCTATGGATTAATTAAAAGGCAGAGTTGAAACATGGAGCTTGGCACATACGTTATATACTAGACAGAATTTCTGTGGTGAAATTGTACACAGTTTTTTAAGGAATGCACCACTTGGAGTATTTGGCTTTTTGTGCTATGTAATGCTCAATTAAGCAGATGATTGCAGTTTTATCCCCTAGCTGAAAGTATCCATTGTGTTTTACATTGGAGTGATAGAATTTAGAAGTCAGGGATGTACACATGAGGATTGCTGGCCTGTGTCCACTGGGTCAAAAGAAAAACTCATAGCAGTATGTCCTGTTTACAGATGTGGCTATTGATACCACATGTAAAAGAATACTATAATAAAAGGTTGTATTTATAGTCGGCAAGTTCTTCAAAGCATTTCTCCAACATTAATTGTCTTAGCCAGAGTTTTGAACAGTGGAGTTTTTTTCAGGTCTTCCTTGAACATTTTTATGTGAAAAATGTTGGATTTTTACATCTTCATCGTGTTTTATCTTTGTGCTTTTATTATCTCCTCTTTGATTCCTTTTCTTGCGTTTTGCAGCTGTCATTTTTTCATTTTCCTTTAACTACTAGTTTTTTAATTTATTTTGGAATTTCTCCTACACAATTTAATAAAGATTCTGTTCTTTTCCCCTGCTTATTTCTATCTGTGTTTTGTTATTGCTACCATTCTTCCTATGGAACTACTCTGTCACCTGGAAGCAGACTACATGGAATTGCTGCTCAGTTTCAGACCAATCTCTGGTCATTCCCTCCTGCATCGTTCTTCTCTCATGTACCTTTAAAATTAGGGTACTTTGAAACTACATGTGGCTCCAAAATGTGGATCTGCAATATTCCTCTAAAACTCTTCTATTTTATTTTAGCAATCTGTCATGTATATAACTATCATATTTTGGAAGCCCTACTCATATGCCTCGATGGGAAAGGCATTGTTCAGGTAGAGCAAAGACTCTGGGCATCAGCAGTCAAAATGTAAGATAAAATATGAATACATAGAGCTAGGGCAGTGTATGAAGATACCAAGACAAGGAGGAATTTGGGGTTTGCAACTCAAAAACTGGTGGTGGCGTAAAGATACCTATGTATGGGTGGGAAAGAGTAATAAGAGATGTTGATCAGAACAGCTTCTGTGGGAATGTGAGAGGCTGAGGGATTTCCTAAGGTCAGAATTGAAGGGACAGGCAGTAAGTGTGTATTTAGTAAGATTAGGGACAAAAGGAACTTGGGGCTAGGGAAAAAAATATGATTAATTTTTAGCCCTTGGAATCTGCAAGCCTAAATAGTGTGTGTATTTTAATGTTGGAGAGCAAGGGGAACAGACCAAAGAAGAAATGGCTCTGAGAAGTCTGAGGTAAATCACAAGATGGCACAAAATCTTTGGAGAAATTAGGGGGTTGTAGAAGAAATAAAATGCAAAGTATCTGTGTGATAAAGGAGGGAAGAAAAGGAAGAGCAGAAAGGACACATCACATTCTTCCCCACACAAAAAAAGCACCCACAAACAAACCAAGAAGTTTCATCTTTTTGGTTTCTATCTTGATGACCACACACCTTGCCCATGATACAACAAACTGATACTGATTGTTCCAATCTTCTCTTCACCCATCATTGTCAGAGCAGGCTTTTTGCAGTACATTGAGTGCTGTGGCCATTATTATTTTGCCTTGTGTTTTATTTTATCAATGTTGTTATTCCTTTCCTAAACCAAGCATATCCATTTCAAGGTTTTGATTCTTTGGTTCAGGACTCTGTAGTGCTTTTGTCACCTTTTCATCAGAAGTAATATCTTCTACGTGCATCGAGTCAGAAAAGATAGAGACATTTTTGAAAGGTGGGGAAGAGATAATACCAAGCAGTATGCAGAGGTAGAACATGCTGCCATCAGTTGATAATAGGATATTGCCTTTTGTTAAGGTAGTGACCTAATACTGTAGGTTGGCAGGAGACAGGACCCCTACCACAAGCAGAAAGGATACTGGGGGAGAGTGAGGAGGTGTGTGCATGCAAAAATCATAACTTTGGGAACTTGTGACTTCATCCATCTCTTTTTCTAAAGGCAAACTGGAATGTATGTAAACATTCTTAACATATTTGCCTCCCTGTTTCTTAATATCCTCTGTCAAAAAGTTTCAGCACCTCCTTGGACTTGAAGCTGAGGTGAGATCACTGTTAAAATCTTCTTAGGGTGAGAAAGTTTTTTTCCTAATGTTCTAGCATGAGTTTTTTCTTATTGCAGTTTAAACCCTTAAGTACCTGTTTTTTGGCCCCTGGCTCTGGAGAATATATTGCTATTTTTGTAAGTACCTCTTGCATGTTTGATGATACCTTCTCCTAGCTAAGTTGTCCAGTAGATATTGTTCAAACAGTTTTACTGCTTTCTCTTGTACATATAATTAACCCACATCTTTCCTGAAATGTGATGCCCCAAATTGGACATTTTTAATGATCCTTCAATATGTTTATGAAAATGTTGACCATTGTGTGTGTCCTGGAATAAAACCCTTTACTTATTAGATTTTTCCATTGTGACAATTAATTGCTCTCTGGTCTTTTTCCAATGAGATTCACATCCAAGTGACAGTCCTTTCATCTACTGTGTGTTTCCCTCTATCATGAGGATATAATGGGAGACCAATGTTGTAAGAATGACTGAAGTAAAATGAAAAATGGATGACATTTGATGCCTATTTCTATTTTCAAGGACAATTACTCTGTCATGGAAAGACATTACATTGATTTGGCAAGTGTTGTCCGTGATTCATTTCTCTGTTGTTCTTCAGGCGGTCACAGTACTTTGCTTTATTATTTGTTGCAGTGTGTATTCTACAAGTTAAAAAAACATGAGAAGTCAGTAGTTACATATGTATTATTTCACACCCTTTTTAAGAATCATAATTACAATTTTTCTAGTTTCCCTCTTAAATCCCCTGTTAGTTTACACTCATTCTGGTTTTGACTTTGGCTCTAAGTATTTGAGTTATTCTTTTAACCCTCATTAATAATTTGTCCCAGTTTTTGCTTCTGTAGGTTTCCTTTGGAATTTGGGTTGTCTTAGTTTTAGTCACTTGGTCTTTCACTGCAGTCTGCACTTTTCTCTGCACTGAGATAGTTTATGCTTCTTTCTTTAGCATAGTTTCTTGAAGGGACTCACAGTTCTAACTCAGTTTTCCTGTTGAATTGTTTCTTCCCATAGCTTGTCTACTAATTCTCATGAGTTTACTGAAGTGTGCTCTATCAGAGTCATGTTTGCTCTTCCCTGCCTCCTAAAATTCACAAAATTACTCTGGTGGCATTTTGACTTAAGGTCACTTGCATCTTTTTCAACCAGTTCTTTTTTACTGTTTTAAGTGTAGAAGTCTTCCTTCTCATTGCTTTCTCCACCTTCTCTAATAGAAAAAACCAAAAAGGTCACCAGTTTCTCTAAAGTCCATTCCCACTGGTATTTATACATTGTAATTGCCTACAACAATCAGTCCTTTGCTTTATACAGTGTTGCTGTGTGCTGCCATAAAGCATCATCTGCCTGATCATCTTGACTTAATTATCTGTGATTTCCTGACCAGGTCAAGGCTCAAGTTGTATTTGCTTTAATTGTTACCCATCTGTTGTCAGCAGTTTTTGGCATATGCATCCAGTCCTGAGGCAGCAGGCAATTCTGCACTGGTTAACTGGCCGAGCCTTCCCATGGAAGCTGCATCTCTGTGCAGTAACTTTATTGCCCTGTGCAGGATTGCACAGTCTCAGAACAGCTCAGTCATCATTTTTATCAATGATCAAAACTTCCGACTCTTTCCAGTTCTTTCTCTTACATCTTTCTCTAGTTTCTAACAGACATTATAAGAATATCTAAGAATTTCAGGTGACTGGCCACTGAGCTGCTCTTTTTTCCTGTGGTCTTCTCCATAGCACTATTAGTTATACTTGTAATTGTTTACACTCTAGACCCACAGCAATGCTAAACCATTTGCTCCTGTAACTCACCTTCATCCTTCCAGTCTAATTCCTCTGCTTCACCTTTTGAGATGCATTTTGACAGGGAGAGATATCTCCCTTACCTCATTCTCACATTCTATTTTTGTTTATTCTGAAGACTTCTCTCTTAAATGCAGCAAGTCTGTGATTGTTTGTTTGTGGGTAGAAGAGCTTTATGGTGCCTCTGCATGTCACACCTACTTTAATTTTCCAGTTCTCGAGATGTAAAGGTCCAGAGGTATGTTGGGGTTTGCTTCAATGTGAGAGACAAAGGTACAAGAGGCAGGTCACGGTCAGGGAAGAGCAAGGGAGGTTCCTCAGTGAGAGGTGATCCAGAGCAGAAGCCCATCATGGTGCTCTGAATTTGGCTCTTCTGTGAAAAGCTCTCTTGACTGACTTGAGGGTAAAGTGATCTCCCTGGGGAGAAATAAACAGTTGTGAATAAAGCCTTTCTGCTTTCCTGTCCACTTGTATGTGTTCTCAGTGTTGTTGGACTTGCATGGAGACTTCTGGGACTGAGAAGGGAAAAATCTGAGGAAGAAATATTGAATTTGTCACATGAAAGTGCTGTGTTACCACCAACTTAAATTTACAGTTAATCTTACCAAAATTACCTGCTCTCCACTGAAAATCCATGACCTGCCCAGAATAGCAAGTTGGTTTAGTGGATTAAGAACCTGGGGGTGGATTTTGGAAGCATCAAATGCAATTTGATGGTCAAGGTTTTCCTAAAGTTTGTTTATTTCTCTTTTATTATTTCTTTCCCTTCCTCCCTCCTCCCCCATCTCCACCAAGTCTTCCATCCCGTGGAATGTTCGTACTGCCGCTGTGAGAGCATGATGGGTTTCCGGTACCGATGCCAGCAGTGCCACAATTACCAGCTCTGTCAAAACTGTTTCTGGCGTGGCCATGCAAATGGTCCCCACAGCAACCAGCACCAGATGAAGGAGCATTCCTCTTGGGTAACTCACCTTTGTTTGTCATGCTGCAATAGCCACCTCTGTACTAATTTATTCTGAAAGTTAAAAGTTTGTTTTAGTAGAACTGCACAGGAGGACTTAACTAAAAACTTAGGTTTTTTTCAAAATAGCGAAAGCATTTAAATAGGTAAATTGTACTGGTTTTATTATAAGTAATGTATTGATGGTTATTGTATTCAGTGCTGCTTAAAGCACAAAAAGCAGCACAGTCCTTCTCAAGGCCTTCACAGACGTATTTTCTTCCATTCTTCACATAATTCCTACTTTTCTTACATTTTCCTTTCTTCTGGCTTGAAAAGGCCTAAAGATGGCAACAGAGAGGTAAACCAGTTAGTGTGAATGCTGTGTTTAGCAAGGAGCTTTATCCAAGTGGCATCTTTAAAGATAGTATTTCTTTAAGAGAAAAATTATCCTGACAGTTGTGAATATATGCACTGAAAACTCCTAACTAAAAAGCCTTAAATTATTTGAGAAATAACGTTCAATTAGATGGCTATAGGATAATTAGATCTGAAGAAGTAACACAGCATTTTAGATGTAAAAACCTATTTTATGCCAAAAGATTAAGCCCAACCTTTTACTTATTCAAAGAGAAGTTCAAATGATGATTGGATTATAATTAGTAATTATCTTCATGAGGAAGAGTCATTATAGTATTACTGTTTCATTTAGAAAATTGGGACTTAATACCATTCAGTAGTTGGAAGGCAAAGATAGGAAAATTCAGACTTAAACATTGTCCTTTTTTTAACTGTGTGGGTAATGAACTTCTGGAATGTTTAATCTGAACTACTAGCAGATTATTATCTCCTTAAGTCTATATAAATTCAGTCTGCAATTTTAATACAAAGAATATCTAAATGGTAGCTCTAGCTCTAGCGTAGATATTTCCTTCTGAAGACTCTGCCCTGTGTTTGCAATGAGTTGGGTTTGAGGGTCTGTGCCTCATTCTGGTGCCAGGACCTGTGAATCTGGCATCTGCCTTGTTTCAGTATTAACTGCTGAGGTGGTTGATTCTTGCTAGGCTGTACAGAATAAGTTGATTTTAAGATACGATGCAAATTGTAGGAGTGGGAAGTATATCCCAACACAAGAGGGACATGGAGTGCTTGGAGCAGCTCCAGAGGAGGCCACCGAGATGATCCCAAGGGCTGAAGCCTGGAGCAGCTCCTGCTCTGGAGACAGGCTGAGAGAGTTGGGGTTGTTCAGCGTGGAGAAGAGAAGGCTCTGGGGAGACCTTAGAGCACCTTCCAGGCCCTGAAGGGCCTCCAGGAAAGCTGGGGAGGGACTTTTGATGAGGTCATGGAGTGATGGGATGAGAGGGAATGCTTTCAAGCTGCAAGAGGGGAGATTTGGGATGAGATCTGAGGAAGAAATTCTTTGCTGTGAGGGTGGTGAGACACTGGCCCAGGTTGCCCAGAGCAGCTGTGGCTGGCCCATCCCTAGCAGTGTTGAAGGCCAGGTTGGATGGGGCTTGGAGCAACCTGGTCTGGTGGGAGGTGTCCCTGTCCATGACAGGGGGTGGGATTAGATGAGTTTTGAGGTCCCTTCCCACCTAAACCATTATCTGAGTATATGATTTGATGAAAAGGAGGATGTTCAGACTGTTTCCTTCTGCAGCTGGCTTAGTGGAAGGTGTCCCTGCACGTGACACGGGGGTTGGAACTATATGATCTTTAAGGTCCCTTCTAATCCAAACTGTTCCATGATTCTGTGGTTCTTCAAATAGAAGGAGAAGAGGGAATTGCACTACAGAAGCAACACTCAACAAGGGACAGAACTGGAAACAGAAAATAACTGGAAACAGTACTGGGAAGACAGAGTTATATAAGCAAAATGTTACAGAATGTATGAAAGAAAATGATAGTTTGAAACCTTGAGGAGACTAAATTTTAATATCTTATGGAATGAAAACATCGATACATGAAAACAATTGGTCCAGAAATCTGTAGAAGTAATTTTAGCAGCAGGAAATCTGGCTGTCTTGTACAGAAACAAGATGTAACTCATCCTAGTAAGAAACTGCAGGAGTAGGTGCAGTGGAAGGAACATTAGCAAAGGTGTGCTATGAAATCTGTTTGTGGGAGGCTTGTGTAGTAGAACTGTGCAGTTACACCTGGACATGGGCCAAAGGAATAAAAGTTGTGAAGAGAGAAGAAGATACTTACATTTCTTGTTCTGAATCCAAATCAAAGAAAGATTAATTTAAGAAGCTAAAGGTTGTCTAAAGGTGAAGTAACAAATTTAGTAAACAATAAGGCAATCATAAGGAAAATTTATGTTCCTGTAGTCTGAAGTAGTATTTCTGGCTCTAGTTCTAGAAACTTATTTCTTTTTAACCATTTGCTGGGTTTTTTAAACAACAAAGTGTTTTAAACAGACAAAATAACCCCAGGGATATATAAAATACTACTACAAATTGGGTTGTCTCCTCTAAACTGAGCATGGAAGCATTTAAGAGAGGGGTCTCTTACATTTATTCTTTTTTTTTTTTTAACTTTTACAAGTCTTGTGTGTTAATTAGTTGAAAATTGTTCTTAATTTAAAAAAATGTTAGTTTGGGATTTGGACTGTATCACTGCTAGATAAATGTCAGATAAGGAAATCCTTCACTTGGTGAGATCAGGGAATGAGAAGTGTCTTTTTCATGTCAGTCTTCATTAGGACACTTCTGCCTGGTGCTGCTGGTAAAGAGGCGAAGCTGAACCTGATAAAAAGGTGGAAAATACCCAGTAAAGGCAGTAACTTTGAAGATGTCTATTCTGGATTCCTTATGTTTTAAAAAATGATGCAGTTCAGTAGAGAAAATTGTCACGTTCTCAGGTGGGACTTGGCAGCTACAACATTTAATGAAGCTTTAAATTAGCTGGTTCTCTGATACAATAAAAAATTATTTGGTTTTCAAATCAGTCAGATATAGTTCAGTCTTCATGGTGTATTTGCAGAGCTATAGAGCCCTAAGATCCATAGTAAGTATTCATAATAAGTATTTCCATCAAGTTCTTTCCTGAAATTCTGAAGTGCCTTTGATAATTTTTTGATACTATAAATCACATAGTGTCATGGGTTTTTTTATAATTATATATGTAAAAGATATTATAATAAATATGTAAGTTCAGGTAGAAACATTTATTGAGATGTTTTGCTGCATAAACATGCTGCTTTTTGGGGTCTGTTTGGTGGGGAAAAAAACAACTTCAAACACTTTCCAAATTTTTCCTTTCAGGCTATTTCGTTTTTATTAAATAGCCTTAAAGACTGATTCATTTAGTTACATATGCGCAGCAGATCTGAAAATCAGATTGTTCATTTTGAAAGCCTGTAGAATATTCGTTGCTCATTCTGTTTATTGTTTAGTCTGTTCAACTTCAGCACTGTCAGTCATAAATTCCAGGTAAAATGTTAAAATAGCCAAGTTCCCCTAAGGGGTTGTACCCTAGGGTGTAAGTTTTGATGCCTTGTTATCAGCTGCAATTGAACCTCTTCCTGCTATAAATAATGGAATGTTTGTTATTAATAATTGTCCTTAACATTGTGGCTTTGGAGTGTGTATCAGCAAAGAAAACAAATGTTTAGTTGTTTCTATAGTGATAATATCTATGGCTTCCGTTGGGAAGTCATTATACTAGGAACTAATCGGATCTCAAACAGAAGACAGACCCTTTTATCTACCGAGTTAAAGTCTAGCAATACCTTAAGTAGCTGTTAATAAGATTATGCTCTCAAAATGACATCTTATATTTCTGGTTCCTTTAATTTCCCATTTCGACCACCTTAAAGTTATTAAGCATTTTCCAACATGTTTTTGTTCAGTCCCCCAGAAACAAGCTGACGGTGTTAAATAACCTGCTCTGCCTCCCTGTCACGTCGCTGTCTCTGTGCTGTGTCACATGGGCTCCTCTTCTCAAATGACGTAAAACCCCTCCTTTTCTAATTCCACATCTCCCAGCAGAGGGCACGCTGCCTTCGTGCTCCGGCCGGGAGCCCGCCGGGACAGCTGGGCTCACCCTGCACCTCCAGTGCGGAGAGCTGGGGGCAAACACGGGTGTTCCAGCTCCCTCCTTGCAGCACCATTTCCCTGTTGCCTCCTTTCCACTTAATCCTCTGCTGGGAGAAGAGGGAACCTTCCCTGTGCACAGACTCCGAAATTTTTTTGCTCACTTCCCCTTTTTCAATGTGTAGGAAGGGTGAGTGTGCTGCCTTACGTTGTGTCTACACCCTGTGTAGTTTACACTTAGGATATTACAAGGAATACCAGTAAAGTGAGGCAGATATTGGAGCAAGGAGAAGAGAGAGAAACTGATAACTTTAAAACCTCCATTTTGAAAGAAGTGTTCTTAACAACCAAGATTCAATTCAGTTTTTGTTGCTTATAAATTTCTAGCAAGTGTTTACAAAACCTTTTTGTTAGAGGTGCATGTGATTTATAAGTAGAATATAATAGTATATAAATTTATATATAGACAATTAGAAAAAGGTAAAAAGACAGCTTTTGGTACTGTAGTTTGTAGTTCCCAGCATTTTAATTCTGTAATGGATTTTTATTTTTTTTTAAGAGATGTAGCTTTTGATAAGAAGGCAGGTGGACAGAGAGAGCATCTATAAACCCTTCTGAAATGCAAAGGATCTGGCAGTACACAGTACAGATGCAATGGGTTTCCAAACAGAACATCACAGTTGCATTTCACTGATAATTTGTCATATCTTTTGCACATATAACAGTTTTTCAATGGTATCTGTCAGTAATATATTAGTTTACCCATCAGAAGGTGGTCAGGCTGTTGGCATTTGCTGCAGGTAGCTCAGCCATGTGTGCTTGTGCAGGTCTGGGCAGCTCCAAAAGGAACGGGTGTCTGGGTGCAGCACAACAGGCTTTCCTCTAAACTTGGTTAAGAACATATACATGCTATCAGAAGGCAGCTGCCAGCAGGGTTTCCAGCAGTGTGCATCTTTGCTCATGCAGGGAGCTTGGAACTAGATGA